TTTATGCTAGAAATTGATATCAACTTGAATATCATTTCTGACTTTTGTTAACATAGCTATTATTTCTGGTGTGGTTTTCTCATACCACAACGAAAAATTATTCAATGTAATCATCGTTTTGAATGCCACATGGATTTTTTTTGTTTTTTTTGTACGCTCCCAATACGTTATGCATTTCATTTTTAATATCTTAGTTCATTTAATATGATATTATCTACTTTGGACCAAGCCTACACGATTTCATTCTTGGGGTTTCATCCAAAATGCCTCATACCAATTGGAAATCACTACAAAGAAACGTGGCTTTAGGCACGGATGTTCCATGCCTGAATCCACGATATCCGTCACTAATAATCTTCATCAACAGAAAAAGACAAACTCAAAATCCGTTATTAATTTGAGGGTGCCTAATAGTATATTACATTTACCAATTGAATTTCCATTGGTAAACATTTTTCCATTTACCAACGAAATTTTTGTCCGTAGAAACCTTGTCATTTCCAGCAGAAATGCCATTAGTAAAAGTCTTTTATTGCCAATGGCATTTCCGTTGCTAAAATTATTGTAATTGCCAATGCATATTCCATTGGTAAAAAGTTTATTCACGAGGATCCGAGTCAGATGATACTGAATTGTCCGATAGCTCGTTGATGGTGCTGAGATACCATGAGTTGGCGGATCAGCACAAAAATAGCAAGTAATCGGCGATCTTTCCTAATTGGGGCTGTTTTTGGATACGTTTCGGTATTTTGGTCATAACTTTGGCTATGATTATCAGAATCGCGCTCATGACCCCAATTTGAAAAGCTCTTTTCGGCATGCACATCGTGGTTACCCAGCTTTGTTCGGTGTGCATCAATTTCGTGGGCAAATTACATTGTTTTCCTTTTCGAATCCCCAATTTAAGTTATTTTTTTGCCTTTTTTAGTAATATTTCGTTTGACTTTTTAACATATATTTTGAACTCGAATTGAGCCGAATTTTTAGGATATTATTTCTCCTATTACGTATTTTCTTTGGTATGAATATTGAGATTTTTCTATTTTTGGTAAAATTTCGTAATTATGATTTTTGAGCTATATAACCCTCCTTGTGGGTTATTTTCAGTCACTAGATAAATAATAAAGATTTCTCTTGCTTTCTTTGCGTTTTCTCTTGTGTTTTTCTCTATTAATTATATGTCGAATTTCAGCCTGCAGAATAATTACTATTCTCTAAGCGTCAAAAGTCTTCATTACCAACGAAAATTTCGTTGGTAAAAATATAGTCATAATTGGTAAAATAGGTATTACCAACGGAATATGTGTCGATAAAAATATTATATTTTACCAACAAAGTATCCATTGTTGAAATTATTTTCTAATTCAACTTCAATACCAACGGAAAATTTGTTGGAGAATCTTAATTTATTATTTTGGACTAAAAATCAATACAACCCACTCATTAATAATCATTAGTTTCATAATGCACTAAATAATCAAAATCGTCAAAA